ATTTAAGAAAGGACTTGTGTCGCTAAAAGTTTCGTCGGAACGAATTTAAGGAAAATTAACTAACAAACGGAGACGTAACAATACTTCTCTCCTAAGTTGAAGCCACTGACGCAACACCGAGAAAGACATTGTTCATTTGAAGTATTATGGGATATGTTTTGAAACGATCCCTCGCAGTTTTGAATGTTTTGGGAGGTTACTATACGTTACGTAGATAAGCAATCAAGTACTGGAGAATGGGGGCGATGAATAAGTTCTTAGTTGTTTAATCACTCCAGTAGGTTTGCGTTCAATTTTTTAAAGAAAGTTCACAAATTACAACCGAAATCTCGAGTGAGTAATAAAAAACAACACTCTTCACAATCTCGCCAAACTACATACAAATGCAGTAATTATGCTAAAATCTTCAATGGAAATAAACTGACAATTCTCCTCTTAAATCTTTATTTGAATCAGCCTCTCTGTCTCATTCTTCTCTTTTGTTACGTCGTTGAAGCTACGTGATAGTTTTCCAGAAAGAGTGTACTATAAATAACAATACCAATAACATAATTCATGAAATTTGAAGAGAGTGTTATAGATTTCATGTTTCATTATTTGTAGAGATAGTACTAAGCTTTGCTGTTTGTGTTTCAAACTTCTTGTTTCAATTTCAAGATTCGTTTGAGAGGAGATTTAGGGGAACGCAACTGTCCCATGCCCCTGTGATAGGACACCTGTGACTCCACCCTCTTTTGTTACGTTGTTGAAGCTACGTGATAGTTTTCCAGAAAGAGTGTACTATAAATAACAATACCAATAACATAATTCATGAAATTTGAAGAGAGTGTTATATATTTCATGTTTCATTATTTGTAGAGATAGTACTAAGCTTTGCTGTTTGTGTTTCAAACTTCTTGTTTCAATTTCAAGATTCGTTTGAGAGGAGATTTAGGGGGACGCAACTGTCCCATACCCCTATGATAGGACACCTGTGACCCCACCCCTCCTAACGGAAATCCTTCATATTGGGGAAAGTCGATTGCGAGGCTCTTAGATCCTGAAGGTCTAAATTGATTAATATGATGATGTAGAATGTGTGTTTGTGTACATACAATGAGGAAAAAAAAACATAAAAGGAGAGTTGATATGGCAACTGAAAAAAAACAAGAAAAAAAGTCTGAATGAATGATTATGGGAAACAAGTACACCAAGTTAATTCAAATATCGATTCGACACTGTCCGTCTCGTATGTTGTAATGAAGTATACACAGTCCAGGGCGAAAATCAGTGGCCTAGCATCTACAGGCCAGAGAGGCCTCGTGGTAGTAAAACTCTACAGACTAACAACAAAAAATGTTATCCGGCATAACATTTTATAATGTACAAAACTATCGTCAGAAAACACACGCAATATAACTTCAATAATGATAATAATAAGATAATTCGTATATTTTTAACCGACTTTCTTAAATACAATACTGTTCATAAGTCGTTTAATTTACTGCTCTTCATACACATTTAGATGTACATTGTGATGTATGTATTAGAGTATTTGAGGTATACATCATGATAACAGACTGTCTTAGATGTACTTTATGATGCATCAGAGACTGGTTTAGATGTGCACTGTGATGTATCAAAGACGGGTTTAGATGTTCATTGTAATGTATCATACTAGTTGAGATACACATCGTGATGTGTGAGACACAGATTTAGATGCACATTGTGATATATCAGAGACTGGTTTAGATGTACATCGTGATACGTCAGAAACAGGATTAGTTGTACATCGTGATGTATGAGAGACTGGTTTAGATGTACATCGTGATAGGTTTAGATGTTCATTGTAACATATCAAAGACTGGTTTACATGTGCATCGTGATGAATCAGAACAGGTTTGGATGAACATCGTGATGTATCAGAGACAGGTTTAGGTGTACATTGTAATGTATCAAAGACTGGTTTACATGTGCATCGTGATGAACCAGAAACGGGTTTGGATGAACATCGTAATGTATCAGAGACAGGTTTAGGTGTACATTGTAATGTATCAGAAACAGGTTTGGATGCACATCGTGATGTATCAGAAATAGATTTAGGTGTTCATTGTATTGTATCAGAGACAGGTTTAGATGTACATCGTGATGCATCAGTGACAGGTTTAGATGTTCATCGTGATGTATCAGAGACTGGTTTAGATGTACATCGTGATGCATCGGTGACAGGTTTAGGTGTTCATTGTAATGTATCAGAGACACGTTTAGATGTTCATCGTGATCTATCAGAAACAGGTTTGGATGCACATCGTGATGCATCAAAGATAGGTTTAGGTGTTCATTGTAATATATAAGAGTAGTTGAGATACATATCATGATGTATAACAGACTGGCGTAGGAGTACATTGTGATGTATCAGAGACAGGTTTAGTTGTATATTTTGATGTATTAGAGACTGGTTTAAACGCACATTGAAATGTATCAGAGATAGATTTAGATGTTCATTGTAACGTATCAAAGACTGGCTTACATGTGCATTGTGATGTATAAGTGACTGGTTTATATCTACATTGTGATGTATCAGAACAGTTGAAGTACACACCATGATGTATAACAGACTGCTTTAGATGCACATTGTTATCTATGAGAGACTGGTATCAATGTACATCGTAATGTATGAGAGACAGGTTTAGATGTTCATCGTGATGTATCAGAGACAGGTTTAGATGTTCATCGTGATGTATCAGAGACAGGTTTAGATGTTCATCGTGATGTATCAGAGACAGGTTTAGATGTACATCGTGATGTATCAGAGACAGGTTTAGGTGTTCATCGTGATGTATCAGAGACAGGTTTAGATGTTCATCGTGATGTATCAGAGACTGGTTTAGATGTTCATCGTGATGTATCAGAGACAGGTTTAGATGTTCATCGTGATGTATCAGAGACTGGTTTAGATGCACATCGTGATGTATCAGAGACTGGTTTAGATGCACATTGTAAAATCTATCAAATTAACATTCTTTATTCCCAGAGACCAGTCTGGTGATATTCAGTTGTAAAGTACACAACATTAACATTTTTGGGACCCTGAGGCTCCTTGATACACAGACATAACTCGTGACAGGACCGGCGCGGCAACCTTAAAGGGTTCCCACAAGTCAACAATAGGGGTCTCTATATCCACCATACCCGCAGTGATATAACACGATACGATCGGAAACACGGCTTTATTTTATGTCATAATTTACAGTATTTTCTCATATACGTAATATTTGACGGGTTGGATGTGGAAGAAGGGAGCAAATGATACTTGCCCCAGGACCTCCATAAGCCTACTTCCTGAAAAATCCTCTTCATTTATAAATCCTTGAAGAGGCACGTAACTCAGCCAGCCGAAATGAAAGGAGACTACAGTTCTTTGTCAAATAGTAAACATTATGTTGTTAGTAAGTTTTTGTATCTGTATAACGTGTAAACTGGTTATTATCCGAAACATTCTTATAACTTGTATGACTTACAGTTTTGTAGTACACAGTAAACAACTTAATATGTATTTTGTGTGTGCAATTCAGTAACTGTTATCGTGTGAAACTGTTGAATAATATTTTAAAGAGTTTTTATTATTTGTTGAACAATTTGTTTCCATTTAGAGCTGCCCCCTCCTTCCACTCCCGAATGTTTTGTTCGTTCCAACGAAGACGTGATAGGCTTTGGTTAAATCGTGATTATATGACACACATATCAATTTTTAGAAATATTCGAGGCACGATAAACACAACTATTAAAAGAGAAACAAGTCCTTGTATTATTAACTGTGGCAAACGAAAGTTGATGAATTAAATCCAAGCTGACAGGGGCATGATACTTTTGGTTATAATCCTGATAAAGAGAGATTAGCGGTTCTAAAAACATTCGAGACACAAACCAGGCCGTCACTAACCATGGGAGGACAAACACCGTTTAGTACTGATAGCTATCTTTACGTATGTTTGACAACATAATTTAATCCAATTGTATTATATGCTGAAACTAGGCCTACATTAAAAATACATCTAAACCAGTGGTCGGCAACTTTTTTTGATCGCGGGTCAATTATTTTATTTTTTTTGAAAAATTTAGCATTGTGTTGGGTCAGTGATAATAATATAATTATTAATACCGGTACACGTATTTTGAATGTGTATGTTTATTTACATACAAAAAAATTAATAATTCGACCAGTTTGATATTTTTCCCTAAAATTGATCTTAAAATTCTCCGTAGCCGTGACTCTTTCCTTTAATATCGTTGTTCTTCTCACACAGCCGAGAAACTTGAACTGAACAATGATTGTGCCCTTACGGGTTGCAATGGTGAAGCCAACTTTTGGCGAGTCAGCCAAATTATTGCCGCGGGTCATAGGTTGCCGACCACTGATCTAAACCATTAATTGACTAAAGTGTGTGTACTCGCTTATAACTGGCGAACTGATAGACCGAATGTCACCAAACCTGGCCCTCAGAGCTCTTAGGAAAATAACAGGGGGAATCGGCGTTCGGATCTCACCCTCCCTATATCATCCCCAGGGGCCTCTTATACCACCCTTCATTAATTAGTACTGAAATATTTCTGAACAATGATTTTTTTTTACCAGAATCAGCAAAATCGTCTGCTCATAGCCGATGGAACAATCGTAAACCACGATATTATGTTTGACGGCGACGTCTACATCGAAGATGGAATCGTTAAGTGAGTATTGGTTTTAAAATCACTGTCTTTTCCAAAAAACAGATACATCTATATCTTTTTCTTCCATGCTTCTTTCCAAGACACAGAAACGATTCAGACAGACAGATAATTTTCACCTTTACAAAATACTTCAAGACAGTCATTGAACAAACCAATGTCAACATCTATATCAAATGCATCAATATAGTACCTTAGGGCTAACATATCTATCCACACCCGCACACGGTCTGCAAAATAAGATGTTGAGGTGTTGTAAACGGTTCTTCCACTAAAAGTCCTCAAGTATTTCACCCGCACACGGTCTACAAAATAAGAATGTTGAGGTGTTGTAAACGGTTCTTCCACTAAAAGTTCTCAATTATATGTCAATTGTTTATCCATTCATATCTAGTGCACCTCAAGTACTGATTTCGGTATTTATAATTTGTATTAAATATCATGTCAAATTACTAACAAGGTGTTTTAAGAATTTGCACATCATCTTTTATCTAACACACTGAATATATTGATATTTTTTACAGAGAAGTGGGAACCGATCTCAGTGTTCCAGAAGGAACCAGAACTATTAACGCTAAAGGAAAACTTGTCATCCCAGGTAATATAAAACACACATCATTTATTTTTATTTTATATATTTTTTGCTTTGTTTAACTAAATATCCTCTTTTACTCAGATTCTTCCGTTTTTAATGTTTAGCTTCTTGTTTCTAAATACTTTTTTTTTGTCTATGGGAGTTAAACATGGATTTATTCTGGTAGGCGGAATCGACACTCAAACTAACCTCGAGATGAATTTTATGGGAGCGAGATCTATGGATGATTTCTATTCTGGGACAAAAGCAGCTTTAGCAGGAGGAACCACCATGATTAGTAAGTAGTCTGTCATAATTGTTACCATGTGGAAATACCATGATTAGTAAGCAATCTGTTACCAGATGAAACCACCATGATTAGTAAGTAGTCTGTCATAATTGTTACCATGTGGAAATACCATGATTAGTAAGCAATCTGTTACCAGATGAAACCACCATGATTAGTAAGTAGTCTGTTATCAGGGCAGATTGTCACTCATTAACAGTGGATATTACAGTAGATCCTCCTATCATCATTAAATATCAAGGCAGATTGTCATTAGACTGTCACTCATTAACAGTGGATATTACAGTAGATCCTCCTATCATCATTAATTATCAGGGCAGATTGTTCAATGGTAGTTCCATCTCGCAACATCCAGTACACGTGCTTACTAATGACGAGATTTTATTTGATACAAGTCACTATTAATTACTTAGTAATTATTATTCTCCTATCATCATCCCCCAATGGCACAGCGGTATGTCTTGGACTTACAACGCTAGAAACTGGGTTTCGATATCGTGGTGGGCAGAGCACAGATAGCCCATTGTGTAGCTTTGTGCTTAATTTCAAACAAAACCAAACAAAAAAATAAATCTTATCAACAATAATTTTCGACTACTTGCTGATCATGGTATTTTCATCTGGTAACAGTCACTAAAAAACTACTTACTAATCAGGTACTTCCATCTGGTAACTGTCACTACAGACTACCTACTAATCATGGTATTTCCATCAACCAGGTAACAGTCGATACAGACTACTTACTAATCATGGCATTTCCATCTGGTAACACTCGCTACAGGTTACTTACTAATCGTGGCATTTTCATCTGGTAACAGTCACAACAGACTACCTACTAATCATGGTATTTCTACCTGGTAACATCGTTACAGGCTACTTGCCAATCATGGCATTTCCATCTGGTAATAGTCACAACAGGCTACTTACTAATCATAGTAGTTCCATCTGGTAGCAAACTACTTACTAATCATGGCATTTCCATCTGGTAACAGACTTCTTACTAATCATGGTAGTTTTATCTGGTAACAGATTGCTTACTAATCATGGTATTTCCATCTGGTATTTAATGATGACAGGAGGATCTACTGTAATATCCACTGTTAATGAGTGACAATCTGCCCTGATATTTAATGATTACAGGAGGATCTACTGTAATATCCACTGTTAATGAGTGACAATCTGCCCTGATATTTAATGATGACAGGAGGATCTACTGTAATATCCACTGTTAATGAGTGACAATCTGTCCTGATATTTAATGATGACAGGAGGATCTACTGTAATATCCACTGTTAATGAGTGACAATCTGCCCGGATAGTAACTGATGACAGGAGGATCTACTGTAATATCCACTGTTAATGAGTGACAATCTGCCCGGATGGTAACTGATGACAGGAGGTTCTGTTATGCGCATTCATCATATTGAGTTAAGAATTTCATAACCTGGAAATTTAAAATTGTCGTTAGATTAAAGTGGTGTTTTTTTCCACGTCGTTTGTTTGTTTGTTATGGATTTCGCGCAAAGCTACACGAGGGCTATCTGCGCTAGCCGTCCCTAATTTAGTAGTGTAAGACTAGGGGGAAGGCAGTTAGTCATCGCCACCCACTGCCAACTCTTGGGCTACTCTTTTACCAACGAATAGTGGGATTGACCGTCACATTATAACGCCCCCGCGGCTGAAAGGGCGAGCATGTTTGGTGTGACTGGAATTCGAACCCGCGACCAGCAAATTGCGAGTCGAACACCCTAACCACCTGGCCATGCCGGGCCTTTCTACTTCGACCGTAATCTTATCCAGATTGGCGTCGAAAGGTATTTTTGTGAGCCAAGAATTTTTTACACACACGGGTGGCTGACCTTCAGGCCATTCCCGTCCCGAGTAGAACAATGAACTTGTTGATATACATTTTATTTCTGCTAACATGCAGAATCTTGTTTTTTTTCTTATGGTATCATTCAGCAATTAATATTTTTTGTTTTGTTTTAATTTGTTTTTAACTACAATGCTACACAATTTGCTGTTTATGCTGTGCCCACCAGGGTATAAAAATGCGATAATACTTAATTTTTATCTTAGCAATACTTATGTATCTTTTTCTTTTGGACAGTAAAATCTTTTATTGTTTTTTTGTCCTCATTACACTTTAGTTTGGTTGCTTTATTTTCGCTGAAGTTTAAGTTACACCACGTGATCTTCTGATCAACTTAATATAACTCAGAATAATTTTTAAACAAAAATACGAAACTATAACGTGAATGCTTTTGACACCGATGAAAAAGGTCAGATTAAAGTTCCGTATTTTTGTCTCTAATTGATTTCCTGACTTATCAACAATATTTTGAGTTACTTTGTATTAACATGTATTTCCAGTAAAAAGGCAATATTTGCTTATGTTGGTTTATTTAAACAGTGGATTTTGTGATGGAGTCTAGTTCGTCGCTTCTCCAGTCCTACGAGATCAGGAGAGCAGTGGCTGATAAAAAGGTCTGTTGTGACTACGCCTTACACATCGTATTACCTGAATGGACTGAGAAAACTGAAGAAGAAATGGAAGTATTAGTAAAAGAGAAAGGTACTGGCTCTTTAAAACGTACTATGAATTCGTTTGCTAGAAAAGAGAATGGATTACACCTTTAGTTTTATAAATCAATAATCTAACAGTCCTCCACTGTTGGACTGTCTTTGTATGGATTTGTGGTGTTTATTTAAAAATAATTTGAAGGCAAATACTACAGTGAGTTTGCTTAACGGTGGAAAAATCCTTAAACTTTGTAGAAGTTTAGATTAAGCTACACCTAATTTTCTACAATCCTTTAAATGGAACCAGTAATTGTTAGGAGGTAGAAGTACATTATTATAACCAGTAAATAGTCAGTTGTGACTACTTGGACGTACGATGACTAGCAACCTTGTTTGGCCCAAACACACACACACACACATTTACACAGCACTCAGCTTATTTGCATATGCAGAATAAAACTGATCACGTAATGTTTTAAGTAGTTGATTTAGCTGTATAAATATAAAGACATAGTAATAGCATGGTTAATTTTTCAGACAATGGGTAAGAGCATTTATCTCGCAGACTTTCAAAGAGCCATGATGAATGTGTCCATCGAACAGAAGCATTTTTACTTGAGGCTGTTTCTTTTATTAGTTGTTCAATAATATGTGTCATTAGACCCAATCAACAGTAGCTACTGAAAGGTAATTCATCTGACCCTATTAATAGTAGCTACTGAAAGGGAGTTTATCAAAGCCTATCAGCAGTAGCTACTGAAAGGGAGTTTATCAGAGCCTATCAACAGTAGCTACTGCAAGAGAGTTCATCTGAGTCTATCAACAGTAGCTACTGAAAGGTAGTTTATCAGGGCCTCTCAATAGTAGCTACTGAAAGGGAGTTTATCAGAGCCAATCAACAGTAGCTACTGAAAGGATGTTTATCAGGGCCTATCACCAGTAGCTACTGAAAGGGAGTTTATCAGGGCCTCTCAATAGTAGCTACTGAAAGGGAGTTTATCAGAACCTATCAACAGTAGCTACTGAAAGGGAGTTTATCAGGGCCTATCAATAGTAGCTACTGAAAGGGAGTTTATCAGAGCCTATCAACAGTAGCTACTGAAAGGGAGTTTATCAGGGCCTATCAATAGTAGCTACTGAAAGGGAGTTTATCAGAGCCTATCAACAGTAGCTACTGAAAGGGAGTTTATCAGGGCCTATCAACAGTAGCTTCTGAAAGGGAGTTTATCAGGGCCTATCAATAGTAGCTACTGAAAGGCAATTCATCTGACACACGACAAACTTTAGACAGTTTATGCTGTCTCAGCAGCATAGACTCTTACAAGTGGTATAATTATGGGAGGCAAGGAGTGGACCGAAAAAATCCAGAGTGTACCAGCACAATTTAGTCAATCACGTATGCTTCACAATGCTACATCCCGTTCTGATAGTCAAGAATGTTTCCAAGGTGAAACTGTTAACCAGCTACTGTGATCACATTACCCAAGATTGGTTTGAAGAGAAAAATATCAATAATTTAATCATATTCCCTGATCAGTAGAGTCACCAGATTTCAATCCCATTATGAATTTTCGGGACGAACCTGAACATTTTACTTGCTACCACTATATCTTGTCAAGGTTTGTGAACCAAATGCTAAACGTACTCCATGACAAAAGGGCTACAAAAAAAAACAAAAAACAAAAAAAACACGAGTACCTCTCATCGGAATCTTTTAGTCTATGCCACCCTGAGATTACGCTGCTATCATGATATTAAGTGGGGGTTCCTAATAAAGCGACAAGTTGATGTACACAGATGTTCTATGATCAGTCATTATTAACTTACAATTCTAATATTGTTTTCTAATGTCTCATCAAGGGGAGTTTCATTTATAGTAACATTCCTGTATCACTCTTTCTTTTCAAGGAATAAATTCGTTCAAGGCTTTTATGACTTACAAAGACCAGTACATGCTACGAGATGGTGAACTTCTACAGATGCTCCACGCATGCAAGAACTTAGGAGCGGTAGCAATGGTGCATGCCGAAAATGGAGACATAATTGCCGAAGTAGGCATCAGAAATTAATTCTTAATTAATTGAAGAAATGGGTTTTTAATTTCTCTTGAAAAATAAATAATGCCAACCATGTATGCCTCTTGTTTCTCATTTTTAATTAGTATTTTTTAGTGCTATGATAACATACCAGATTTTAGAATTTAATAAACACACGTAGATTTTGAGATCTAATTTCTAGACTTCATTTGTAATACAATATACAAAATATTTGTAACATTAAATTTATTATTATCATTTTAGAATGAGAAGAGAATGTTAAACATGGGTGTCACTGGCCCTGAAGGACATATCTATAGCAGACCTGAAGAGGTAAGGTGTAACAGTATACGATCTTGAACAATTAATAACATAAAGGAACATATTTATAACAGACCTGAGGAGGAAAGGTGTAACATTACACGACCTTGAACAATTAATAACATAAAGGAACATATCTCTAACAGACCTGAGGAGGTAAGGTGTAACAGTATACGATCCTGAACATTAATAACATAAAGTAACATATTTCTAACAGCCATGAAGAGGTAAGGTGTAACATTACACGACCTTGAACAATTAATAATATAAAGGAACATATTTATAACAGACCTGAGGAGGTAAGGTGTAACAGTACACGATCTTGAACATTAATAACATAAAGGAACATATCTCTAACAGACCTGAGGAGGTAAGGTGTAACAGTATACGATCTTGAACATTAATAACATAAAGGAACATATCTCTAACAGACCTGAGGAGGTAAGGTGTAACAGTATACGATCTTGAGTAGTTAATAACATAAAGTAACATATTTATAACAGACATGAAGAGATAAGGTGTAACATTACACGACCTTGAACAGTTAATAACATAAAGTAACATATCTCTAACAAACATGAAGAGGTAAGGTGTAACAGTACACGACCTTGAAGAGTTAATAACATAAAGGAACATATCTCTAACAGACCTGAAGAGGTAAGGTGTTACAGTACACGATCTTGAACAGTTAATAACATAAAGTAACATATTTATATTTGGTCTAATGAAGGGAGCACTAACAGAAGTGGGCTAAGCATTTAGATGAATTATGATTGAGGTGACGACATTCTGGTTATCTGATGCCCTTGATATATTGCTACTTGCTAAAACAAATTTCTATAATCACATTATAATTTCTGACACTAAGTCAAAGTATAACTCTTTCTTAATTGTCTTTACATATTCATGCAGTGACTAGTTACGTTATTCAGTAAACATTAACAGGATTAGATTAACTGCTTGTGGTAAGAAGGTGAATATACTTTTTTATACCTTATCCACCAACATGATTTCTTGTTTTCAAACTGTGGTTCTTGATAAACTTAATGACCACCTCTATGTTGTGTCATATCCCACAGCTTGTTTTCATACTTCAGTTCTTGGTAAGTTTAATGACCACCTCTACATGTGTCATATCCCACATCTTGGTAAGCTTAACTTAACTTGTGTGATGCTGTACATCTTTTGTTTAGGTTGAGGCTGAGGCTACTTTCCGTGCATCTGTGCTGGCAAATCAAGTCAATTGTCCACTCTTTATCCAACACGTTATGAGCAGGAGTGCTGCCAAAGTTATTGCCAAAAGAAGAGGAGAAGGTTTTGTATTTTACCTCTGTTTCTTGTGTATATTCCTGAAATTATCTATTTAAAAAATTTTTTAATATGATACCAATTTAAAGAACTTTGGAATGTTTTTTTTTAGGAATTTCACTGTAGTAAACTGCAGAAACCACTTCAAACTGACTACATTATCTCATACCTTAAGTGGTTCAACTTTAATCTTCAAGTTACCGACTTTCATTTGTATCATTTACCGCTGATCAGATCTACATTCTGTATATGAGTAAGTAATTGTATACTTCTGCCTCTAAGAACTGTTTCTAGATCAAACAGTGCCCCCAGGCCTCGTAATAGTCCCCCTACTTTAAGCAAACTGCTCCTCGACGTTCTCGTTCGTTTACTCGTGGGCACCACTGCTGACCTAATGTATTGAGCGTCATCTTTTGTTTGTTTGCTGTTAAGCACAAGCCTACACAATGTGCTATCTGTGTTTTGTCCATCGCGGCTATCGAAGCCAAGTTTTTAGCGTTCTAAGCCTTCACACTTACCACCGAGCCACTGTAAAATACAGCAGCAGGTAATGAGTGTAACTGCGATACTGTTGGTATTTTTATTTACATTTTTATATATATAAGTCATATGTTATTAGGGGGACTATGACTGAATATGTCGTGTAATTGGGTGCATGAATAGTTTTGAAAAATGTGTATAGATATCCGAGAAAACCCACTAGAAATGCTAGGGTTAACTTTCCGAATGTATAATATACATTGAACTGTTACATCCTGAGAATAGTTTTAATTTTTCCTTTCAGAAAACTTGCTGACAACGAGAGTGTATTTCCTATCGTTATAGTAACGATGGCTCTTATTTTATCTTTCAGGATGTCTCTTATATGCTGACACTGTAGCCGCTGCACTCGGCACTGACGGTTCACATCATCTAAACGCTTGTTGGCGTCATGCCGCCGGTCATGTGACAGTTCCCCCCCTTTGCACAGACCCGTCCACTCCAGTGGGTTTGATGAACTTATTGGGAAGGTATTTTTTGATAGCTTAAAAGCTAAAACTCAGCCCTCTTTACATTACTTCTTTTATCTTTTTTGTTTAATTTTTTTTAGTGCCAGATTCTTATTTTGAGGCTACACATAAATATTTTAATCACAGTTTTAATGCTACTTGTTTCCAATAGCGGAGATCTCCAAGTCACTGCCAGTAACCACTGCACCTTCTCAGCCAATCAGAAGGCTCTTGGTCAGAATGATTTTACAATGATTCCTCACGGAGTAAACGGGATAGAGGAGAGAATGTCAGTTGTGTGGGAAAAGGGTGTGGTAAGTTTGACATCAACACTCGAAAAGTGGGTGAAACCCTGGCTTCTCTATGTGTATGAGAGTGCAGAATCAAAATTATGTAACTATATTCATATAAGGATACAAGACGTTAAAAACACATAACAATATTAATACCAGAAAACTCAGGTAATAATATTTATATGAGAAAACAGATTGTTAAAACTCAGGTAATCATATTTATATCAGAAAACAGACTGTTAAAACCCAGGTAATCATACTTATATGAAAAAACAGATTGTTAAAACTCAGGTAATCATATTTATGTGAGAAAACAGACTGTTAAAACCCAGGTAATCATATTTATATGAGAAAACAGGCTGTTAAAACCCAGGTAATCATATTTATGTGACAAAACAGACTGTTAAAACTCAGGTAATCATATTTATATGAGAAAACAGACTGTTAAAACCCAGGTAATCATATTTATATGAGAAAACAGATTGTTAAAACCCAGGTAATCATATTTATATGAGAAAACAGATTGTTAAAACTCGGGTAATCATA